AAGTTTTTACACCTTTTTTTTGCAATGAAATTGTGGGAGAAAGTCTTCTTGTATAATTTATGAAAAAACCTCCAGTGAGAATAAAACCGTCCCGCTTAGAGTAACTTTACCATTAAGGGTCAGTATTATGAGGGTAAATGCATTTACACATGTCTCTGCATCGTCTCCAACTTCACAATTAGGAAGTGAGTTTGATGACGTTTGGCTCAACGTTCTGCGCAGGAAACTTGAATGATTAACAGCATCACAACTTCCTGGAGGGACTGGTTGAAATAGTGACAGATTTTTATTACAAAGTGCTTGTGATGTTAACTGTCGATCTTTTGCAGTATCTCAGCCCAGAGTAACTTTGCTGTGGGTGCAGTGGTGAACGCCAGCTTCGGCTCCATCACAGAGTTGACCTTTTACATCACAGCCCTGGTCAGAGGTCACCAGGCAGCCAACCCGTGTCTGCAGGAGGTTGTTAAAGCAGCGCTGACTGGCACGCTGCTCGGATGCATCCTCTTCATCCCTGTGAGCAAACCTGCATTAGTGACTCTTGTTACATCACAATGGAGACAGAAGTCATGTGCAAACACAACAGTAATATAACACGTATTTACTTTTTCTCAGGGCGTCTGCATGATAATCGGAGGGCTGAGACACAGTGAGCAAACGTTCAACAGTCGCTCTACAGGAGTGAGCTCTCCGTTGCTTTTCATCTCTGTAGGAGGCAAGTACCAATACATATGTGCTGTATGACAAATAAAGCTACAGAACTCTTTATGATATAGAAATAGGAAACATTTTTCTTTTTTCTAGCGGTACTTGAGTGAATTAAACTGGCTCCTAACTTACTCACAAACTCATCCTTTCACATTTAGTCAGCAGCACTTTGGTAGAAGCTGTTTGGTTATTCTCAGACATGTTTGACATCATCAGCAGGAAACTAGCAGGAAGCAGCAGTTAAAGACCTCCAGAGGCAAACATGTCATTTTTGCCTCCTAAAAACAGAAAGGTAGTTGCTTTAAGTATGTGAGGCTTGCGCCACCTGCAGGTAACAAAACTTACAGCTACATTTGTTTTCTTTGCAGCTGCAGTTTCAATCTGTTAGCTAAAATAAATTCTAAAAGTTTAACATAATTGTGTCACACTAATCTCCAGTAGATAATGAATAATAATAAAAAAAAACACAAACATTATTAAAAAAATATTTCCATTCCTAAATACTGTGTGCATTAATCTTTTTTGGTAGGTATTATATGGTAATAAAATCCTATTGCAATTATTTTGACAGATATTGTGATTGTGATATGATTTGTGATTAGTTGGAATGATAATTTTGTTGATGATGCAGCATTTGTTTGGGTCTGTAGGACCAAAACAAACCTGTTTTCTTACATCTGGAGAACAAGATTTTTAGGCCAGGGCCTGTATTATTTTGCAGCTCTAGTTTTTTTGGACACCATCAGAAAAGTAATTGTCTGGAGAATAGAAAGTCACCTGATCAGACCAATAAAAAGGATTTGTTATGATATGATCTCAATGGCCAAGGTCATGTATATAATTCAAACATTCACCTTCAAATGCATCAATCTCAACAGCAACAGAAACAGCTGTTCAGGTGTTTTGTAAACTCTATTTCTAGCAGAAATCAACTACAATATAAAGGCATTACCAAAATGTTCTACACTGATTCATTTGCCTGACTGTCAATGGCAGGTGTGTTTGCCCCCACGCTGTTCTCCAAAGCTTATGGAAATCTGGTGTGCGAAGCCTGCACCAACTCCACTGGAGGAAATAGCACGAGCAACAGCAGTGGGCCGTTTGTCTGCCACAACTGTCACTACGATCTGGTCAGCATCATTTGCTAAACCTTTGAGTCTCATTATAACAATAACAATATATGACTTACATACGCTGTATTATGTGTAATGTGTTTGTTTTTTTCCCCCAACAGAATAATGGTACATTGTTCCACAACCATGTTGAGTAAGAAATTATATATTTTATATTTTTTATATACCAACTGTAACATATTAGACTATATTGGTGATTTTGCATGTATTAGCCTTTGGTTGTAGGGGTGGATCCATTTCATTTACATTCATTGCAGCATAAAAATCACTTTCAGAAACTTGAAACATGCTTGAGATAATGTAATCTATTGATCGGAACAAACAACATATATTTCTTTAACTTAAGTTGCTCTGCTGTCACTATGCTGTAAGCAGAGGTCAACAGTTCAGCGTTCAACAATGTCCACGTTTGCTTGTTAACTTTCTTCTTGGTATAATTTTCTCTCAAGTCAACGAGGAGTTTAACACATTTTTCTTTAAGTTGATTTTGAAACAAATTCAAGAGGAGATGAGGATAGGAGTGTTTGGCACCACAGGTCCTGGAAAACCTGAAAAGTTAGAGACTAATCCTGGAAATATTACTTGTACTGTAGCCTGTCCTGTGGTCAAATTGTTATTATGGTTAGAGGAAAACTGTAGTCAGTTCGGAAACGGCTGTGGTGAGAACAGAAAGTGTGCCAACTTGGAGTTTCCTGTAGCGATGAACACCGTTTATTTAAGTGCTGTCGTGTATTGTCAAGAAAAAGTCCTGGAAAAGAAACCCTGATATAAGACCAGAGCTAAAAACCTGCTAACGTCACCTCATGTTCTTTCAAGTTTCTGAAAGAATTCAGTAAGCTGTTACATCCTCTTTATTTTTCTTCCCTCTCGTTCATTGTGACCGTTCCTGTCGTCAGGCCACTGGTTTACACGGTGTCTGCCCTCTTGCCAATCGCCTACATCATTGGTCTGATATTCACACTGAAGACGCACTCCCATATTTATGACATTCATGTTGGAGAAGAACAGGGTAGGAATCTCCCTCTCATGATGCATCTGTATCTCGGTTGTAATGCAGTGAGGGCACAGTTGTCTAATACTGACATATCACACCATAATGTCTTTGTTTGTGTCTGCAGTGACTGGCCACCACGGAGCAGTGGTCCACTGGTCACGGTGGAGATCTATGGTCATCCTCATCATGGCCACTGTGCTCACGTCTGCCTGTGCCGATCTAGTCACCGAGAACATCCAGCCCATACTAAACCAGCCCAACATCTCTCAGGTCAGGATATGCATCTTTTGCAGCTTTTTTATTTAGTTGTTTTCCTCCGGCGGTGTTAATGTTTGTATTTCTGTCTCCAGTATTTTATTGGAGTAACAGTTCTCGCTATGGTTCCCGAGATCCCAGAGATTGTTAATGGGATCCAGTTTGCACTCCAAAACAACATCAGTCTGAGGTAAATCCCGTCTTTTATTAAAAAGCTACTGTTTAAAAAAGTGATATCTGTATTCTAAATGATTTCTTTCTCTTTCTCAGCTTGGAAGTGGGAATCTGTATCGCAGTTCAGGTCTGCATGCTACAGATTCCAATACTGGTCTTTTTTAATGCCTTCTATGTAAGACGCCCCCTTTCTTCATTTTGATCATTGATTCATTCATATAAAGACCTACTGTTTTTATAGTTTTTGTAATCAAACATCATCTCTGTTTTGGATAGGATGTGGGATTTGTGCTGTTATTCAGTGACCTGCACCTCTGGGCCAGTATCTTCAGTGTGATTCTTGTCAACTATATCTTCATGGACGGAAAGTCGGATTATTTTCAGGGTAAGTTTAGAGTGTTTTAACCCGTCTTTACCTATTGATGTGCTTGTGAAATATAAGATATGAAAAGGGAGGAAGGAAACGTTTTTAGATTTAAAGGTCCAGTGTGTAACATTTCGGAGGATCTATTGGCAGAAATAGAATATAATATTTATAGGTATGTTTTCATTAGTGTATAATGAACCTGAATATAGGAATCCTTATGTTTTTGTTACTTTAGAACGAGAGGTTTTTATCTACAGACGCCACAAGTTGCCTTCCATGGAGTCCACCATGTTTCTACAGTAGCCCAGAGCGTACAATCAAACACTGGTTGTAGACAGGAACTTTCAGTTTCTCCACACCCTTCACAGCCCGCTCTCATTCCCAGGGTGCGAGCAGTGTTCAGTTAGTTGCAAGATGCCACTAAACCCTACACACTGCTTCTTTTAATCCCTGACATTGCTTTGCATTCCTTATTATGCTTTGAACGCTATCCATCAGTTAACATTTGGTTTACTTGTTAGGTAAATGTTGTAGTTCACTGCATTTAAAAGTATCTATTCATGTTGATTTTTAGATTATTCATGTCATTTCTCTGGATAACTTTTCTCAATTACCTCAATATATCTTTTTTTTAGATCAGTCAATGATCCTGGGAGTTTTATTCAGGGAAGTTCTCAGTAAACCTGCTCTGGGTGCATCTAAATTACTGTTCCCTGTTAATATAGTTTGTTTTGTTTAAGAATTGATACACGCTAATGCAATATCATCTTAAAACATGAGGGATCTGTAAATCTTAAATTATCAATCTTATATTCAGTGTTACTTCCTGTCTCTTTCCTTTCAGGCACAGCCCTGGTGGTCGTCTACCTTATTCTACTGGCTATGTATTACTTCGCTCCATCTCCAGCAAGCTGCTGACTGCGACACTTTTCAGGCCTTCTTTAAGCCCGGAGGACCACAATTAATCTCTGTTGATGAGATTTTATCCTGACAGTATAATGACTTAATGATCATGTGTGAATCCTGACATCGGCCTTTTTATAATTCATTTATTTCCTAAATTATACAAATGACAAAACTGAAACTTTTAATCTCAGGTAGATACTTCTACTACTGTAAAATGTAGCTTATAAACTACCAAACTATGTCTCATAACTTATGTTCTTTGTAAACATGCAAATTGATATTATAATGTAAAGTATGTGAACTAATGCTATTTTGTTTTAAAAGGTACTGTTGTAATAAATTTGTATACTTTTTAACTCCATAGTGTTAAAACGGGACATGTCTGTTACAGTTAATGATATGAATGATATTATTTTAAATAAATGGTTAACTATGCTTAGCAAGAACAACAACATCTGTCACAACATTTTGAAAAAACTGGCTGCCTGTGTTTTTATTGTTTGTACAGACAAGAATTACAAAACAATGTACATTACAGCCATAATTGCCTTTTGAGGAGACATTCACCTTTTCTCCCAAAAGAAGATGTAAAGTGACATGCACACCATACCGACATGCAAAAGAGATAATTTTAACATCAAAAATGATGCAAATATAAAACATCTCAATCTTAAGCAAGGCCGTACATTTACCAAGTCCGAGCACATACTGAAGCAGACTGTTGCTTCACAATGAGATATAAATAAGGCCAGAACATGTCAAACATAAGTAACTGAGGTGGAGTTTGACTGTGAAGATGGGCATTATGATACAAGAAGTTTTAGACGAATTAGCTTAATATTAGTTTACAGTGAACGTGTGAAAAAAAAAAAAAAATGCTGCAGATACTCGATATTCAAATTCAAGATATAGAGGTTGACAAAAATCAGAAGCAAACGTGTGACTCGATACAAGAAGCTGGGAGAATTATTACAGGATTTTAGATTAACAGTCCACTGTAAAGGCAAAAGGTTTGTTTTCATCAAAGTCCGGTTGTCTGGTTTCACAAAAATTTGATTTTGGGGAATGATAGAGCTCAACAGCGTCTGATCACAGTATTTAACATCCTGAGTATGCCTTACATACTCTACCTTGTTACACAATTCCCATGCCACTTACACCATGTACTACAACACTACTTTCTAAAGAAAAACAAGAACAAAAGTTAAAATAATATTAATAATAATAATAATATTACAGTCTATGTTACAGTATAAAAAGGTTAAAATGGAGTTTAGGCTTCAAGTGGGAACAATCAAAGCAGGTGAAAAAAAAAGTTGTAGCAACACGTTCTGCAACAATGCAAAGTTTTGTAATGAAATGAAAACAGCAGCACAGAGATTTAAATAAATAGGTAGGGGTGGGGTGGACAGATCTTCAGCTGCAAGCGGCATCTCCTGATTAATCATGAGCAGAAAGGTTCTGCAACAAAAGGCTCAAGTGGAAAGCACCAGGGGTTACACGTACACAGTTCGAAGAGCAATGACCAAATAAAAACCTTAAAAAGACTTATTTATATAAAGTAGAATGTGTGTGTGACAGTTTGGACATTCAGAAGGCACCGAATGAAGAAATAAAAAGGCTTGATAATCACTGTGGAGCTACGGGTGTATAAATTAATTAAAAAGAGGCACAAAAAGATTCACAGTGATGCCATGTCTCAGATGTTTTAAAGATCTGATCACAAGGCCTAATGGGACCAGTGAAGGGAACATTTTCTTTCTAATTTGACCGGTAATCACAGCTCTGTATTAGCATGCAGTCAGAAAGTCCTTGAGGCGAAAAACATGATTCCTTAAATAATTGACCTAATTAAGACAGTTGAGAGATATCACAGTTACAACGTGTCCGTGCTTCATCAGCAGCGTGCCTCTTTACAGAGATATCTAGATGAAAAGTTAAGTTTACGTCAGCATTTCTTATCTAACCTGTGTCACAGTGGGTGTAGCAGCAGCTGAGTGAACATGTGTCAAAGATGGCAGCAGTGTGGAACAAACTGATCTCAGCCTGTCTGAACGGAAGCTAAACCTACACTAGCACAAGCAACATTCATTTTTCCTTTCAAGAAGTGGCGTCAAGAACGATTAAACAATTTCTCGTGCTGCACAAGAAAAAAAACATAAAAAAAGAGGAGTGCACTGCATAGTGGATGCAAAATGACAAGAGCAAGTACCTGGAAGTGGAAATCGGCATACCAGAGTGGTTCTGATGGATGCGTGTAAACCCAAATCTGACACGTTCACATACAGACAAATGCAAAAACACTGCACTATGCATTTGTGTTTAAAAAAAAAAAAAAAAGCACACACGTTTACATAAGACAAAAAGGCATTCAAAGTTATTTCATAACCATCCGACATCATCAGACTTTTCTTTGTAGTTTCTTCTTGCAAAGTTAACAGTGATTTTAGAGTCAGTGATGTTGATTCACATACTGTACCGCTTCCTTTCGGTCTCCGTATCTCTCCGTCTATTTGAGCCGCTGAATTAGTGTGTGCGTCAGTCCCAGGCTGAGCAGCTGAAGGGTGGACAGCTGGGCTACGTGAGGGAAAGTTTTCAGCAGTTTCTCCCATGTGAGTTCCAGCAGGCTCGGCACCACCAACCACACTTTGTACAAAGAGCCAGTCCTCCTATTCCCGGACATGTTGACGACACCGCCGTGGACGTACATACAGCCAGCCTGAAGGAGGAGAACATTAACTTTATTCATTCATTCATTCATTCATTGTTTTAAGCAAACAAGCCTAAAATACTGTCTCACAGAACACACACAGGGGATATAGACATGCAAATGTGGAGAGATGGAGTGACGGGCTGCCACTGAGCAGTGCCCCAGGAGCAGTTAGGGGTTTGGTGCCTTGCTCAAGGGCAGTTCCAGTTCACCTCCTGAGCCCACACTCCATACTATGGTCCATGCTGGACTTTAACCAGTTCTCAAGCCAAGTCCTTTATGGACTGAACTACTACAGAAATTCAGCGCTGCAACAACTAAGCGACATAAACATAAAATTGATCATCAATCATGACATTATTATAGTATTTTTTAGGCAAAATCTCCAAATATTTACTGGTTTCACACCAATATGAGGATTTTCTGTTTTCCCATTTTAGGTAAATTTTGTATCTTTGGCTTTTGCTGACATTTAAAGATGTCACCCTGGTGTCTGGTACACTGTGATGTCCATTGTTTTCTACTTACTGTCATTATATAAAACTACACAATTAATCAGATATTAGACAAAAATAAATTGTGAGATTAAAATAATGATTCGCTGTAGCCCTACAAAAGCAAATAAAATTGTTTTTTATTCATTTATTTTCCTCACTCAGTTCAGAAGTGAAATCAGCTGACAAAGTTAGATGTCGACATGATGATAGTTGACTAACCGGAGTGACTGCAGCACAGTGAAAGTAGGCTGGCTCTGGCATGACAGCAGGCAGCTTGGTCCACTGAAAAGTCTGCAGGTTGATCTTCCACAGGTCGGATAGGATTAGCTCTCCATTATAACCCCCACATATAAACACCTCTGGGAGCAGAAACAGAGATCATATAAAGATAAACATTTTAGACTGGCGTGTCCAGATAATGATGTGTGAAATACTCCTTACCGTCTTTGACCTGCACACAGCTGTGACACCGACGAGCGGCAGGATACCCTGTCACGATAATGACAAAGTAAATTCAGTGAGTGGTCTTTAAATTCTTTATTTAGCAAAAGAAAAAAGGTAAAACATGAATCACAAACCTATTCTTTCATGAGGTTTTGTGACTATTTCCTCCCAGTAATTTGTCTCCAAGTTATATGTGTGAATCTGAGGAAGATAAATAATATTAAATAGATAAAATGAAGGAGTAAGACATCTTCTTTCTGTTAAATTTAGTCTGTTGGTTCACTCCTCTCACCTTGTCCAGCGGATACGACATCCAGGAAGTGCCACCTCCTAAAATGTATATTCTCTGTCCGTCATGAGCTAGTTCATGTCTGTACCTGTAAAATCAAACATTTATTTTCAGTCTTTTCTAATGAATATTCACCAATAGGTCAAACATTTTTAAAACCATGTCTGGTTTCTGACCTCTCCTCAGGCAGATCTGAGGGTGCGTTGTTGGGTTTGAGGTGGGTCCACTCTCTGGTGCTCAGGTCCAGCCTGTGCAGGTCGGTACTGTAAAGGTAGCCTGTTGTCCCTCCAAACACGTAGAGGTAGCCATTTACGATGACCATCGCCTGCAAATGAAGAACGGTGATAGATGTTTTGTCGGCGCAATGAGCAGCTACATAAAGGAGAGGTATAAATAAATGATGGGACTTCAGCTATTTATGTGAAACATCTAAAAGAGACAAACACTGTTACCTGCCCGTAGATCTTGTTGGGTTTCTTCCCTTTGCAGTTGAGCAGGTTCCATCGTTTGTACTGAACGTTACAAACATGGACATCGTTGCCGTTGTTTTCACCAAACGGGATCCCAGTGCCGCCAAACACAAGCAGGTTGTTACCGTGTAAAACAGCTGAAAGAGACAGAGACAATCGGTCTCTACTAGAGGTTAAGATCCTCTTTACTATCCCTGATAAGGTTGCTTCGAATCTCAAAAACACACATACATGAGATGGATAAAAAAAAGAATCTGTATTAAAAGGTCCTCAGTGAATTCTGGACCACTATTGGCACCACAGAGCAATGTTTGGAGGAATGTTGTTTTGGTGTCACTGCCAAGTTTATCCAACAGAGTGCGCTGTGATTTACAATACAGTGGCAAGCAGCACAGAATTAAATAACAATGTAAATGGTAAATTATTTAACAGGTTAAAGATTATTTAACTTAAAGAACTTAACTTAACTTTTCAGAGCATGTGGGTGATGTATGTCTGTAGACGGTGGTACTGAAAGTCAACAGTTGATGGCAAACTCACATACTAACTACTTAAAAAGACAAAGAGGTGATTATACAAACTAAAACATACCAATGATTATTATATTTCTGCCAATAGATCCTCTTAAACGTTACACACGGGATCTTTAAATCACTCCGAAAATCAGGTTACTGCAAAAAATATATATAATCAGTGTGTCAGTCAGCTCACATTGAGGGCATTAAAAGGCGTTTCCTTCTGTTTACAATCAGTGACACTCGTTGTCTTGAGCTCCATCTAAAGAGCGCTGAACGTATTTGCTTCCACATACAACATTTTAAAAAGCCGTCTTGCCTTTGTAATGCCTTTGATGGTGCATTACTGCCACCTGTCGATCAGTGGGATAGTGTGAACCCATTGGCAAGGTATAGTGTAGTGTAATGAGTCACCTGCATGCAAATGTGCACAAAGGGCAAACAAAACAGGTCCTTAGTCATACAAAGTATCGCTGCATAGTCCCACTAGTGGACGACCTTTAGAGACCAGTAGCTGGTTCTAAATGAGTGTGTGTGCAGAAGTAATTCTGATTAAAACGAAGGGCAGCACATGAGTCCTTACCCGACATCGAGGCCAGCTCTGTGGGCATGTAACCCTCTGTGCGGACCTGCTGCCAGGTGGCTGTGGCGAAATGAAACCGCCACAGCTCCCTGAAAAGAGGGTAGTCTTCGTTCTCCGACCCGCCGGCCTCTTCAAAGTCTGGGTTGTAGCCTCCAAACACGTACAGGTTGGCACTGTCCGCAACACAGCGGTGTCCACTCCGGGCGGGGGGGACGCAGTGTCCTGTGAAGCGTTTAAGACACAAAGAATTGTTCAGACCCTGATGTAGCTGCAAAAAAGGACATCTTTTACATAAAATACTGTATGTCAAAGAGTGTTTACAGTTTTACAGCTTTACAGATTGACTGCATTTGTTTATCTGATGAGGAGGTCGTGTACTTTCCCCACCTTCTCTCAGGAACCTGTTGGGAATCCGCAGGCTGGGGCAGGAAGGGGAGAAGATGCGCCGAGCCTGAAGCCACCGTGCTCGCTTCTTGGACCCTGACGGACAGAAATGTGTACAGTTAACGTTAAATGTGTTTTCAGGAGGTCGGCTGACGGTAAATCTGCAGGAGAGGAGAGTCTCTGGTTGGGAGTTTATATCAGCTGTTAGTGGTTAAATTATAAGTTTCTGTCTGGGCATTTTTGTCGAGTTGAAAATGTAATTTATTACTCTTGTCATAAGTAATATTACTACTTTACTTATTACTCCCTGCCAACAGTAATTAGCTACACTACCAATTATAGTATTTGTGCCCCTTATTCTACAGTTTTGTTTGACTATAAACAATCTAGTTTCCTCCACCATTACAAAACAATAAAGTATTAGTATTAGGGGTTGTAACTAATTATTGCTTTAAGGGGAGTAACTGTAATTATGACTTTAATGTATTAATAATTAGTCACTGAGGGAAACAGTGAAGCCTTACAGCGCAACACAAACATAATCCAGCTTTTATAAACAAGTAAACAGTTTGAGTGAAGCAGTGTGTCCCCCTCCATGAAGATAACTCCTCTCTCTCTCTCTCTTTCTAACACTCATATGTGACTCCCCCCCTTATTTAAAGACAACAACCCCCACAGCAGCGCCTGCAGATGCCTCCCCTCCTCCCTCCCTCCCTCCCCCGGGGTTTTTCATTCACTCACTCATGTCTGCTGGCTTCCGTAGCAACATTAGCTAGCTCCTGGCCTGTGTGCTGCAGTCGCAACAACCCCCCCCAAAAAAAAAAAAACTACCATCCTGCTGCACACAAACACAACATCAACGACGAGCAACGTGACCTAGAGTAACCTTTGACCCACTGTTTGCTTTGTTCGCTGCACCAGGCTGCTTGTACTCGCAGGAGAGTTGTGTATTATTATTATTATTTTGTTGTTTACAAACCTGAGTCGCGGATGAAGGGCCTCCACGACAGTTTCTCAAACTTATTGAGCTGTTCGGCGGACGACATCTCGACAGGGGACCGCAGGGAAGGGGACTCGAACCCGCACACTTAACGACCCGCTTCGGTGTGGACACACGTAGAGGCATGTGAGCCTGCGAGCTCCGAGCGATCACACCAAAACAAAAGATAAAACAACCAGCGACCGTCCACACCTGCTGCTGCCCGCCGCGTCACAGCCAGCTGGTCCCCCGGCCGACCAATCAGAGGAGAGGGACCTCACCGTGCTGCGTTCAAGAGCCGCATGGGGGTGTTTATAGTTGTGTTTACAGCAGCGGTTCCCAACCTTTAAATGTGGCACTGTTTGTCTTTGTCAACACCTATCGCTTAGTATAGTTCACATACAGATTTAGATATAGATATATTGATTATATTCTCTAATATAAGTTACTGCTGTGTGTATATATGTGTGTGTGTGTGTGTGTGTGTGTGTGTGTGTGTGTGTGTGTGTGTGTGTGTGTGTGTGTGTGTGTTCTGTGCACCATGCCACTGCCTCTAATCTTCCAATCACATCTGTATAAAAGCTCTATATAGATATATATAGTGATATATATAGTGCACACACAACTCTTTTTTTCTATTTCCTATTATATCTTGTGTTTTTTTCTGTTCTATTTTTTATTTAATGTGTATTTTCTTATATTTTGTGTTGTATTTGGAGCTGCTGTAGCAAGTGAATTTCCCCAATGTGTGATCAATAAAGTCTATCTTATCTCATCTTTTATTTATCTTTTTCCTTAAGGGCAGTGGTTTTCAACCTTTTGGAGTTAAAGGCATGCTAGAAAAGGTAAATGAAATACACACAGCAGGCCTATAGCTCAGCATTTGGTTCAGTTAATGTAAAGTAATTTGTCTAATCGAACAATGGCAAAGAAAACACTGAATTTGAAGCCTAGTAGGTCTGTATGATTGTTAACAAAAAATAATACAGGCAGAGAAATTGTATAAAAAGTTCCCTAAACAGGAAATAATCTGCTAAAAATACACTAATTTTAACACAAGCTTCTTGCAGGTTTACTGATATCTTTAGAAATATTTTAAACAATTCTCTGTAAAAAAGAATTGACAACTATAGTACAGGTTTTTCTTTTATTGTTTTAACAATCATACATACTTAACAGGCTTCTTTTAGACACATATAGTATTTTCTTCTCATTGTTCTATCAGCTCGTCGATTATTGTAACACCATTTTTGCTAATAAAAGTGACCTAAAACACTAATAGATGATTTTTATTTGTCTGATAACTGGGTATTACTGCATCTGATGTGGTAAAACACATGTGTTTACAAGGTGTGATATAAATCCTTTAATTAAACAGCCCTAAAAGTGAAATATAGGGATCAAACCTCAGTTACTTCTGCACCACTGAGCTTAAAGTCACAGGATCTTTCTGACTGTAATGTGTCTGCTTATGGTAGCGGTGGTAAAAACCTACTAATTCAACTGCTTGCAAGACATAAAAAAAGGTTTGCTGTGCAGCTTAGACGATGGACAACTGTTTGGTAACTATGAGAGAAACAACTGGTGAACCAAGAGTCAACCTTTACCCCAGATCTTCGGGGGGCTGCTCTGCCGACAAGCGGTAATCTGGATTTGAAGCTCACTGCGATAGGCCGAGAAAGAGCCAAACAGAACAAACAGACCAACGCCTCGAGAAACTGCTACGGATGTTGAAAATGAACATAATGGCCTATAGTTTAATTGTAATGAGTGACTGTCTTAGAGCAGATAACGAGAGTGAAAGGATTTAATCAAACACACTCTTTTATTTGTCTTTTGTTTGTGGTTTTTCTCTGCAGTTCACACTCACATCACACCAAAAACACTTAACAGCAGGAGTGTTTCTTTTACCGTGTGCGTGATACAATCATGTTTAAACATTTAAGGCCCCTCGCTGCTTGTCCAAGATCCTACAGTTATTAAAATACAATCAACTCAGGATCCACGTTGGTTTACACTTTCCCCAAAGTGAAGTTTAAAATGCGAACACGGCTCATTTTGTCCGCAGAGAGAATCTCAGCCTCAGTTGGTTGATGTAACGTTGCCTCTCCAAATAACCTCTTACCACACTGAGTGACAGTGAGTAGGAAATGTCACTGACAGTAAGAAGTTCCTGAACAATGAGTTGCAGCTGTGTTAATGAGATTAAACAGGAAGGCGAGTCGGCAACTTTCTGTTCCATCCAGTAATCTACTCATAGATTCATGGAGGTGAGGACTTGATACCATCTCATCCAAAGTCATTAGTCTGGCTGGGAGCTGCACAACGCTCATATTTGTGTTGTTCGTGCATTAAGAGATTCAAATAACTTAACAAAGAGGTGTTATTGTGTATAGATAGATCCGTCCAAACCAATTCATTCAATGCTCACAAGGCCGATAAACAAAAAAAGAGACACATCTTCAGGCTGCTGTGGAATGAGGTTTCCCCCTTTGTGAGTTTGTGGTGAAAAGTTGGTTTTCGAGCCCTGAACTTTAACTTTCATGCATCCAGCTGTAAAGGTTTGTCTCCTATCCTAAATGATGTTAAAGCTAAACCTACTGGCTTGTGTTAGATATACTGTGTAATAATGCAGTTGAACTTATTTATCTGTTTTGTTAATTAATAAAAAATCCACCTTGACAACATGTTACTGTCTTAGATAACCTTGTATATTAGATTGAAATGTGCATGAAATAATGAAAATATACATTACTTTTCTTTGTTTTTACTGATAGCAGCATTATATATCAGCCATATATAAATATACATATAATCAGGAACCTGTATCACAATATTAAAGTAACGTAACTCTGTGGTGGATTACAGTTACCTTTTTTGTATCCTAATTAAGTAACTCACTTACATGTAATCTGTTACTCCATGAGCCTGCAAATAACTCATTTTATTAAAGAAAAACTACATAATTGTCATTTTTAATAAATGTAACTGTAATCTCATTACTTTTTCTGGATTATAGTTACCTTTTTTGTATCCTCAATTACGTAACTCACTTATATGTAATCTGTTACTCCTCAAACCTGCATAAACAGACTTTTAGTGTCAGAAACTTGTATTTTTAAAGTGAAAACTGATGTGTTTTAGTCCTGCTAAATAATCCTGATGTTTACTAAATGTAACTGTGATCTCATTACATCTTTTCTTCTGTAACTGTAATGGATTACAGCTATGTTTTTGGTCTGTTGCTGCTTGCTTCACGCTCAGATTTCCAGCCTTTAAAGCTTTTGTTCATTCGAGACAATGTTACGCCTTTAAACCAGAGTCTGTGATGTGTTCAGGGACTTTACATGTACAGGTTTAGAGTCAGATTACATGATTTACACCGAGGTGTGACTATATAGTTTCATTAACTGAGCTCTTTGTCACGTCTACGCAGTTTGGTACACGGGGGGAGCAATGTGTTGCACAGGCGCTAACAAGGGTGACATCATTTCAAAAGACATTTTGTTTTAGTCACATCCTCGGCTCTTCTTTTAACTCCACGTGACGGTTTCTGAGCTCTAATGTGCTGATTTCTGATGACGTTGACACGAGCGAAACAAAGAGTTTGGGACTGTTCTTGTCATCTAATGATGAGTAAAGGGGGTCACGTGACCTGACGAGGTCACACTCTCAGGTCATGTGAGACTCTCAGAGGCCTTTGTGAAGAGGGAATCCAGCAAAACTGAGCTGTATATGTTATAATATACTATTTTATATTGTTTATAAGCTCACCTCTTCCTGTACTTTATTAAAATTAACTTCTATGATGAGTCAATTTTATATTATTTTGTACAACCCTTAATTTTGGTTAAGAAAAGAGGAAAAAAGGAGATAAAACCTTCACAAAATCACCCAACTTTAGAACAACTTCAACTAAACTCAACCTTAAAGAAAGGATTTATTACAGGACTGTTGTATTATTGTTGTTATTTCTTCACTAATGTAATATTTACCTGATTTAATGTGTGGGATAAGAGGCCACAGTCACAAACATCCTTTAGGACATTGTGTCTGTGGAGAAAACACAAGTTTGGCCTCAAAGTGTTTCAGTTTTCCAATGAGCTGATTTCACCGTAGATATAAACGTTATAGAAAAGAAACAGTTTTATCTTTGAGCTCTTTTTCTTTCACCAGCTTCAAAAGAACAAGTCAGGACTTTATTTTGGGATTAAATGTCGACTTCCATCTTTGTTAAATCAAAAAATTATTTTTTTAGCATCAAAATCTGTATTTTTAAACTAATCCTGCTAAATAATCCACATTTTTACTAAATGTAACTGTAATCTCATTACTTTTTTTCTGCAACTGTCTTGGTTACAGTTACCTTTTTTGACTCCTAATGTAATTGTGATGAATTTTGTGAACTTTGTTTGTAATCCTGATTATGTAACTCATTTTCTTTTACATATTTTTCTGTAACTGTAATGGATTACAGTCACCCCCTTTTTTGTAATCCTACTAAATCATCCTAATTTTACTTTACTAACTGTAACTTTAATTATTTTTGATAATCCTGCTCAGTAATCCTAATTTTTTGTAATCCTGCTAAATCATCCAAATGTTTACTAAATGTAACTGCAATCTCATTACATATTCTTTCTGCAACTGTAATGGATTACAGTTAACCTTTGTAATCCTGCTAAATCATTCTCTTTTTTTAAATTTAATAATCATTTTTACCAAATATAACTGTAATCTCATTACATATTTTTACTCTTTTTTTGTAATCCTGCAAAATAATCCTAATTATTTTACAATTTTCTAGTCCTAATTTTTACTAAATGTAACTGTAATCTCATTAGATCTTTCTCTGTAACTGTAATGGATTACAGTTACCATTTTTTGTAATCCTGCATAATAATCCTAATTTTCTTTTCTTACACACTTTTAATCCTCATTTTTATTTGTAACTGTAATCTCATTACATCTTTTCATTCTTTTTTTTTGGGTAATCCTGCAAAATAAATCCTAATGTTTACTAATTTTTAATCCTAATTTTTAACTGCAACTGTAATCTCATTACATCTTTTTTTTTTTTTTGGATTACAGTTACCACTTTTTGTAATCCCGATTAAATAACTCCAGTTACATGTAATCCGTTTCCCCTCCAGCCTGTACATTTAACATTTAAATGTGGGACTTCCAGCCTCGTTACCCACAGACACAGACACCCACAGCCGGACACAGACACCCAAACCCGGCCACAGACAGCCGTGCTACAGCGCTGCTCTGTGCGGTGTATTTCTATACCTGGGCCCCTCCTCTCCTCGCTCCGGTCGCAGGAGGTTGATGTCAGTCTTCAGGACAGGACTCAACTAGGCAGAGCTGGTTGGAGAAAACACTGAAGATCCACTGAGAGGACGAAGGGAAGGAAAAACAGAAAAAGTGGGCGATGTTGCAGCTAGGATCTAGTTTGTGGACATTGTGGGAAGACTGTTGATACAGTCCGGACTGCTTTTTGTACCCTAAAGCTGAGCTAAAAGACTCATCGCCGCAGTATTTCTTCCTTTTTTTTTTTCTTCTTTTATATATATATATACTAGATCACTTCTGGAAAAAGGAATACTAAAATGTCGTCTCCAAGTCCGGGCAAGAGGCGAATGGATACCGACGTGGTGAAACTGTATCCTTCCCAGAACATAAACAAGCCCCAGAATAACCAGAAAGATATGTTTCATAATGGTTGTCAGCTCTCTTATGTTGGTTAATCAGCAGCATTTTCTGTTCCCGAAGGCTTGTAACTGTTAGCACGTATATATACCCACGTATAAATATATGTTATTTATGTATATATAATGTGGTTACTAAGGAGATTATGATGGTAGGTTTCGTGTCTTTTCGTTGTTGGCTCTGCTGTTCAAAGATTATATCTGGTTAAGCTAGCTCACTGTTCAGCGAGGAAGCTACACACACACACACACACACACACACACACACACACACACACACACACACACACACACACACACACGGTGAACGGTTAACGGTTAACGGCGGCCGTTGGGCTAACTTAGCATTAGCTCGCTAACACGTTTAAAGGGAAACAAACGGCTCTCGTTCGAGAATCAGCAACGGAATTCTGTCGCCGTTAGCAACGTTAGCTCGACGAGAGAGTTAGCCTAGCGCTGTAATGTGTGCCCCCCCCCCCAGCGGACTTGACAACACAATGTGAAGGATTAGCGAGGACTTTTTTCTTTCTTTCTTTCTGTTTTTATTGTTTAACCTTTTTTTTGTGGCTGGTGGAGGGGGAGGGGGGTTTGTTTTTCTTGGTAAACACGGTGATTGTGTTAATTGTGCTGGCTAGCGTGTGTAGCATGCTATCAGCAAAGGGAGAACAAATAGAGGGTTTAAAAAAAAAAAAAAAAAAAAGCACAACAGAGACGATCTTTGATCAACTACATTGATTACAGTAAGAGAGCAGGACGACGACACATACTGACATTTTATGCTTTTATTATAAATTATAGTTATAAATTATAATCAATACGGTTGGCAGTTTTTTTTTCTTAATTATAAAGCTGAAGTGTATTTTTATCACAATTTAACGATAGGAAATAAATAAAACAAAAAAACGGATGTATCATCAATTATTATTTTCTCAATAACATCACTGCATTTATTTATTTATTTTTTTTTAGGTGTAAGCGATGTTTCGTTTTAATTACTTCTACTGCTGCAATAATTAATAGTCTAACGTTATATTATCTCTAATTATTTTTTTTGCATTTTATCCGCTGAAGTTTTGCATGAAAGGGATTTTCTGACAGCGTGAGGTGAATTGTTTTGTTTTTGTCCTGCAGCGAGATGCTGCTCTCTGATTGGTCGACCTGTTACCATCCGGAACACGGTAGAAGGCGGGGCTTCAGCACACAGCTGATCGAGGAACAACAAGCGTGCTGTGCGGGGCACATGCAGCCAAGGCTAAGGGGGATGGGGGGGATGGGGGGGCTGGGAACATCCAGTCCCATGGCAGGGGACAGGGCTTTATAGTGTGCTGAGGGCTGAGTGGGCGAACATGTTGTTTCCACTTTAACAGCACTAACGTCTTTAAAACAGACAACTTATTGATCAGTGGCCGAGACTTTTGCTGCGTTATTCCTCCCCGTAAACTTTGACCAGACAAAAACAAGCATGTTTGAAGATGTCGGCTTTTGCAATAAGGATTTTTCAACATTTAGGTTGATTGAGAATGAAAATAATTGTTTGTTGCAGCCCTGCAGACGGCATACATAGTGAGCATAGCTTTGATCCTTTATATTTGAGTATATTAAGGTTAAAACGTTTTACATGAAAACTTTTGTAGATTGAGACACAATCAGTTTAAAAATAGAAAAAAATGACCCTAATATACACATTCATTTAGAATCTGATGAGATTTATTCCCTTACATTTCCATATTTAATTAATTCTCTATAATAACCGCTCATTAAACATACTATAAAGTAATTGTTTATTAACCCTCACTTTAAACTGTTGGTAATAAACACACAATATGATACACATCTACGGTTTGACCAGGAGCTACGTAACATCTTTATTTTCGTTAACTATTGTTTCGTTTCACTGCCGTTATTATAAAATATGGATGATGAATCTAATAATAGACAGTGCGAGTCACTTGAGGAAAAGACATGTTGGGATCAACCAGTTCTTGCTGTTGTGGATCTTGTTTCGGCCGCACTTTGTCACTGTTTTAACAGCAGATGCCGAACATAGTTTCAGGTTGTGGCTTTAAATCAAAGATCTTAGTGCGACAGGGCACAGTTGAGTCAGTTGTCACTCCTGCTCTCAGACTCTTTTACAGTTCTTACAAACAGGCACAAACATCAGCGTCCAACACATGTTACATCAGTGTTTTAAATGTGTAGTTTAATTAGAGCAAACTCAAATTAACTCTTTGTTTCTCTCAAATTTCAGACGACAGTGCTCATCAATTGGTGAGCTTTTCTCAAAATACAGCGTTTCCCTTGTGTAGTTACTTTACTCTTGAGTGAGCGTATGCTTTGGTTTGTATGGATAACCCACGGGGAAAGGTCTAAAAGAGAGAGAGAGAGAGAGATGCACATTTTTACTGCAGAAGTCTATAACAGGTTTTATTTATAGGACCCGTTGCCTCAGATCACATTTAAAGCTACTCCGTCTTCCTGGTCAGTGGTTTTGCGAACCCCCGAGCGTTTTCAACCCTCTTCTCGGGTAGATGTTTGCACTTAATTTCCCTCCTGACCGTTATGGCACTATTATTTGTTGCTCCTGCAGTTTGGCTAAATACGCATCCGTACGTTACCTCGGTTAGATCGTTGTGAGAGAGATGACAGAAGGATTTATGACAGGATGATGAAACAGGGTGTGACAGTCCCTCGTGAGGCTTTTGTGTTTTTTTTTTTCCTCTTCTCCATCTGTCATTGTGTCAGACTTGCGCAGCCGTTGATTGAATACACTCGACCTTTCTGCTGTCACCACACACTGTGATTATGACACATCCTCCCCCGCCCAAGTCACCTTCCATCTTCTCTCCCGGCTGAAGTTACCTGCACAAAACAGATGAAAGTTCCCATCGATTCTCCCTTACGACCCAGCTGGCTGAGGGCAGCACATTTCTGCTGACTACACATAATGTTTGATAGCCGGTAGACCCTCCGGGGGCGTCTGTGCTATGAGTGTTTGTTCATAGGGGATAATAATCTGTGGTGCTGAAGCACTTTGATGGTGTTTGCTTTCAGTTTAGACGGTTGAAGTTTGTCTCTTCCTGTAGTTTCAGAAAAGTTAAGGTGTGATCATTTATATCTTCGATTGACAGCCGTCTTCATGTTCTAAAGTTGTCACCCTGTGTCTGGAGTGTGAGGTTGTGTTATTGTGAAGCTGACCCGTTGTCTGCTGTTTGTCTGACATGGCATTATTGATCTCACTGCCACGGCTCATGCTATCGATCCCATGTCTGACCTCTGCCCAGACAGGTTCACTCACAGAGGGAGAGAGAGGCAGTTTCACTAACCTAAAATCAACAGCAGCATAATTTTTGTCCAACTTGTGTTTGATGTTGTTTGAATATCTCTGCCGCTCCTGTTGTTGTTGTTGTTGTTGTTGTTTGTGTTTTCTGCCGTTGCCTTTTCCTTAACCAGCGGTCAGCATTGAGAGCAAGCACGAGGTCACCATCCTCAGTGGACTCAACGAGTTTGTGGTCAAGTTCCATGGACCGCCTGGAAGTAAGAGACATTTATTCTCCCTCTCACTGACCAGCATTTCACCAGTTTAGTGTAAATTTAATCAGCATCAAGTTTCTTGTGAGTTAAGACACTTGACTCCAACATCCTGGATTCTGTCTTGTGTGAAGATGTGTTTTAATCGATTGATTCATCTTTTCTTTCCAGCGGCGTATGAGGGAGGTGTGTGGAAGGTCAGAGTGGACCTACCAGATAAATACCCCTTCAAATCACCATCAATAGGTATGAAATGTCTCTGCAAGTGTTGTGTTGAAGCTTTGAAATCTCTTTATTAACTTATCAAAACCTGCTTCTTCTTTTTCCCCAACAGGATTCATGAATAAAATCTTTCATCCCAACATTGATGAAGCGTAAGTAGAGGTTGATTCTCATCTTTATGGCAAGATTTGTATACAAATTAATTCATAATTGTAAATGCTGTCTGAGGCAAAACCCTCAAGTTTAGCATACAAGAAATGATTCATACGATTTAAGAACATCTGATGTTTTTTTCACTCACTTTGCTTTGACAGCCTCTGCAGATTGTATTCTGTTGTACTCACATACCCTTTTCCACCAAGACGAACCGAACCTAGTGCCAGTTCAGGGTTGGTTCAACTTGAGGACCTTCTAGGAACCGGTTTGTTTTTCCACAGGCTAGAAAGCCTCCGTAGAGCCACGTCATAACGCCGCTGTATACGTCTCCAGCGTTAGCTTTTGTTACAAGCAAGCATAGCTACTCATTTTTAACATGAATGTTTCTAATCTTGAATGTAACATTAAAGTTACAAACAAAACAGGGATTTAGAAGTTAGTAGCTGTGCTTGCTTGAGTAATGTTAGCTAATCAATACATGGCCACACGGTGCTCACAGCCTCTGTTGTAAGCGGTTCTTGGTTCTAGACCTGCTTTGGTGGAAAATGGTTAACAGTGTTTTTGTGTGTTTCAGGTCAGGAACTGTGTGTTTAGATGTCATTAACCAGACATGGACGGCTCTCTACGGTAGGTCACAGCTCTCATTGTGTGTCAGCTTTATAGAGTCTCACCGGTAACTCGGATAAACGTACTGACAGTAATAGTCAATAAAATAAAACACACACACACACACACACAAAGCAAGCAGCTTATTCTTCAGTGCAGCTTCAGGCGGAGCATCTCGGTTTAATCGGCTTACATTTTAGTGATAACTGCTTCTTGTATTGAGGTCACGCATTGAGCACTGAAAGATAAGAAGGTGCTGAGGCTGTGGTGAACTCGCTCACCTGGAGGGTTTGCTTCTGTTGTTTAAGTGATCATTAATAGGGCCCAGATTTAGGGTTTACACTTGAGTCTGAGGGGCTTTATGTGCAACAGATGTGTTAACTCATAGTTCCTTTGATCAAGTTGTCTGACTGATAGTTATCTCAACATTACGTCACTGTATTCAAGAAGAGTTGGTATACCTTCTGGTCTTAAAGAAAAAAGGGTGTATTTGTTTTAAAATTTAAAATCTTAGATCGGGGTCTTGTGTCAGCTGAGAGAAGTTTATTTGTTGTTCAGATTGCTTTTGATCCACAGCTTTGTTTGTTTTTAGACATGGTTACATGAAAACACCCTGATAAGTATTTGTGTATTCTGCGGGGGCGGTGTGACACTGGTGTGATGAGCAGTTACCACTGACGGTAATCTTTAGAGATGACTAACAGTTGAACAAGTGGAAGAATTCAGTCAGACACCTTGTTTGAACCTTGAGTGAAGTAGCATTGTGGTTTTGTTAAGGTGTTACTGAAACTTAAACAACATCACTGAATATAGCGAGTTTCAATATGTAATCAGTGTTTATGTCTTAAAATATCCTGTGCTTGTTTAATTATGTATGTAAAAGTTGTTCTAGGCTGACGGACCCAAAAGAGGTCATCCTCAACTGCAGCTGACGGCATATTCAGACGCTCAAAATGGTTTTAAAATCCCCAGAATGCCTCTGAAGACACTGATAAACAGATAATAATTAATAGTCAGCATGATTCTCAGTCTTTTACTCCCTTACTTGCAGTAGATTATAGATTAACGGCCATTTGTTTCTGAAGTGCACCTACATTTCAAATTGTTATTTAATGATCACTGGCAGTTGCATTATTGATCAGTGCAGCTGAACGTGCACAAAGGCGTCATGAAGCATTTTTTTTTGTGATTATTTTCTTTGATTTACGCAGTATTAGAGCAATTGTTGGGTTCTTCTATGGGTACAACCATAATGCAGGTAACCTACACTCAGTACTCAGCATCCTGTGTAGACGTTAGATGTTAATCTGTTCCTGTTTACAGTTTAACTCTCTCTTTAGAGGTAAAGTGCCTGACCAGGAAACAGTACAACCATACAGCTGTTTGAATTGAACATTTCATTACAAGAGAGCCCTCTAGTGGTTCATGTTGTAGCTACAGACATTATGAAATGACTCAGTGTTGGAGTCAGATATTTCTCTGTTGTGCAATGTTGCTGACTAATCTTTCTCGCCACTTCCACTAGACCTCACCAACATCTTTGAGTCGTTCCTCCCTCAGCTGCTCGCCTACCCCAACCCCATCGATCCTCTGAACGGGGACGCAGCTGCCATGTACCTGCACCGGCCGGAGGATTATAAACACAAGATCAAAGGTAGCGCAGCAGCGTCTCACACTGAAAATGTGAAATGGAGTGAAGTAGATCAGATGTTGACATCAAAACAAAACACCTGTGATTGAGCAAAGATTCAAAAAACAGTCCAAATATCCTCAGAAGACACATCAGACATGAACCTTGCAATAAAAATCCAGTCTGTATCTGCCAATAGACGCGAGTCAAACACAGAACAGACAACATTAGTATTAATAATGCAGAAGGCATATGTGCATGTGAGATATTATTTCATTTTTACTCCTTTCTAGTAGATATCAGTAGATATTATTTAATAAGACTTGACAAAATGATCTCAACTCAAAGTCCACATACTCGCTTGTTCTGCAGCTTTTTGACCTTAACCCAACAAACGTCCAAATGTGGTGTAAATTATAACTAAAAACTGGAATTACTGTTAGTTTCTATCCACTACTGTTACTCAAATGTTAGGAGATGGTTCATCCCCAGTCGGGTGCCATTTAATCAGAAGAAGAGGATTTAATTAAAAGAAGAAGAGTCTATTTGTTTAATGTAAATTTACATTTGTTGTTGTTATTGTTATCTTTCTTAAATTGTCTTTATTTTCTCGTCCTTTTCTTTAGTTTCTATTATTATCATTATTTATTCTTACTCAGTTATTTCTCTGTATTTTAGATTTATTTTTCCCTTTTTGGGTTCTGTTTTATGATTGTCTGGCATTGGGAGGTTCTGTGTGTCTCTTTGTTTAAAAGTTGAGCTAGTCAAACCTCAACAAAAATATATAACTTTACAGTCTCCTTATCACTGAGATGTTTTCTTCTCTTCAGTGGAAGCTTCTGTGATGTTTAAGTCACATACATCAGGATACATAGCGATATGGCAACTTTTCCACCTCAGCCAAGTCTATAAACCTTTTCAACAATTTTTTTTAATGCAAGAATTGAAAATGTGCGTAAAATCAGGAGGATGGAAACACACATTGTGTCTCATGTTCTTCATGAGCACAGTCAGTTTGCTCAGTAGTCATGGAAGTGTATGTATGTAGGATGGTGTAGCACTTAAAAGTTGTACTGAGTCGATTAATTCCTGAATTGTTTCCATGACAACTGAGGAAACTAAGTCTGTTGAGGTAGATGAAGTGTGATGTGAAACCTCTGGGAACATGTGAGGTACCTGAAGTGATCTGCTGTGTTGTTGCTCAGTCATCCATCTCTCTCTCTCTCTCTCTCTCTCTCTCTCTCTCTCTCTCTCTCTCTCTCTCTCTCTCTCTCTCTCTCTCTCGTGTGTCTTTTTCAGAGTACATCCAAAGGTACGCCACAGAGGAGGCTCTAAAGGAGCAGGAAGAGGGAGGGGGCGACTCCTCTTCAGAGAGCTCCATGTCAGACTTTTCGGAGGACGAGGCTCAGGACATGGAGTTATAGTGAAAGGGGGGAGATCCTGTCCCCTTCACCTCACAACAGACTGTCGTTTCCTAAAGAGCAGAAACTCAGTACTATATTCATATTTAAACGAGACAATTTTTTACAGCGACACAAGGATTTTTATTGCTACACAAGGATTTGCAGTATGATATTGCAGAATATTAACCCTTATTTAGGAATTCATGACCCACCTGCCCCCCTTTGCCCTCCTCTTCACCCCCCCCAGAGAGCCTGTTTAGATCAGAAAGGAGTGCATCATTCATTTCCATGATCTTTAGCGTGGCTTCAGTCAAAGCCTTTCACAGCGCTCGACCAAGTCCAGCTGTGAGACCAGCACAGGAGGCCAGAGGACTGACATCCACACAAGTTTCCTATTTAGTTCCACAAGCCAGACCTCACCACACCTCGAGTCGTAACACGCTCAATCGTTTTCTTTCTTTCTTTATTTGACATCTCACTGCATCATCGGACATATTTGCCCCACAGAAAGAGGACTGCAGGATGACAATCCACTATTTCTGAGTGATCTCAACTTCAAAAGAGTGGATTCCCATTTTCCTTCAACCTGTCACCTTTGATTTGACACCCCCCCTCGAGGAGTCGCCATTACAATCATCACCTACGAGGAGCTGAAGACCCAGAGGACAACAGTGCGTTCGTGTGTTCATCGTGTACAGACTCTTGACGGGACCGGCCTTTGTGCGAACCTGCTGACACATCACACACTATCAAACAACCAACGCATTAACCATGACAACGCCGCAGTGTCTGTGTGTGTGTGTGTGTGAATGTAATCCCGGGAGAATCATGGCGTATTGATAACCTTTGTTGTACTGACCCGTGATGCTCAGCAGAAATCAGGAGAGAAGGTTCATAATCCTGATTCTTCTCCTTCACCCATCCTCCTCCTCCTCCTCCTCCTCTCCGTTTTAGGAAAGTGTTTGTCATTCTCTGAGTATCTTTGTATATTGTGGCATGACACAGAAGTAAATTTGTGTAGGGTTTCGTGGAGCTGTAACGCTGTAGATGTGGGGAGGACGCCTGTGAGCCGGGCGGGGTTCGGTGGGGTTTATCCAGGTCCTTGTTGAATTATTGAACTTCTTAACTTTGCCTATTGCTTGTGTTGAACTATAATAGGTGTTTGACTTGCGTAGGGATAGTTAGTTTTTTTTTTTTTTTGCGGGTGGTGAATCCTATCATAATATATGGTTTAATACTTATATAACACACTAGTTTAAAGAGTAACTGTCCTGTAAAGATGAGGAGAATTAATACATCTTTGTCTGTGGGATGACTCTTTTTGTTTGAATCAAATCCTCTGAAGACATGTTGCACCCCTGCTCCCTTGCACCCCCCTTCTTATATGCAAATGTGTCCATAAAAGATAAGTTACATTGTCAGACAGAAGTGCTCTTTTGTTTCAGCCATTCAACACATTTACTTCTTTTTTCATGCTGTTGATGGCCTGTTATTTTTCCAAATAAAATGGTGGGACCAAAATCTTAACAGATCTACACGCTTAGTTTGGAGCTCAAAAGTTCAAACTTAAGTTCAGGAACAGGTTTCTTCTCCTTCAGAGGACATTTTAAAAAAATGCTTTTGTCCTGGTTTACACCTGGAAAGATTCATGTACCTGTTGGCGTCTGTGGAGGAGGCGTTACCACAGCAGTGACAGTTTACTGTTAAATTTAATGATGGTACACTGGTCTGTGATTTAGTGCAGATACACGTCTATAAGAGGCTCTCACCGCATCGCAGATCAGTTTGTATTATGTGTTACTTCTGGAGGGAAACACAAATTAGAATATTTGCTTTATCACCATCAAAATGGGCTGTTTCTTCTTTGTTTGGAGGAAAAATAGATTATAAACTTTTATTAATAATCCCTTTATGATTAAAAGAAAAACAAAACAATATCAGGATCTCTCTTCTGTGGTGTTTTGCAAGAGTTTACCTTCGTTTGAGAATTAACATAGGCTGGTAAAACTAGCATGTCACAGCTTTTTGGCATTAAATAAAAACAACGTATTTGTTAAATAACCTAGTTAAATGGCTCTAATTAGCCTCTGTAACCAAATTTATGTTGGTGTAGGTCTTAGGACTACATGATGTCACAGTCAGTTGTCATTTGCAACACAAAACCAACCACTGTCCAGCCTTGTTGTTTGTCATTATCTGGATTCAGTGTATTATGTATTTTTTATTAATGAGACACATATATTTGATGCCTATAATTTGTTTGAATGTTTTATTTTTGTCTTTTAAGCCCTACGTTCAGGATACAAGTCCAGAAATCTGATTTTTTTAAAAGCAAAAAATGAATAAATGTGCTTCCCTTGTAACTTGAAGAAAGAAATAAACAACAAAAAATATATGATTTAATGTCAGTATTATGCTTGTGTGTGTGTGTGTGTGTGTGTGTGTGTGTGTGTGTGTGTGTGTGTGTGTGTGTGTGTGTGTGTGTGTGTGTGTTGTTGTTGTGTGTTGTTGTTTTTTTTTGTTTGTTTTTCTGTTTGTGTCTTGTGTTGTTGTGTGTGTGTTTTGTGTTTTTGTTCTTTTTTTCTTTCTTTTTTTTGTGTGTGTGTGTGTGTGTGTGTGTGTGTGTGTGTGTGTGTGTGTGTGTGTGTGTTCGATGGCCTCAGGTGGTGACGTAGGAAACTGCTCATTGTCGAGACGTCTGTTGAACCTCCAGAGGACTTGGGACTAGTCTCACACACACATGTATTTAAAGATGCTCATGCTCGGGCAAAATGGTGTTCTGGGGAAATTTGAGTGATTTTAGTGTGTTATAATCACCTCCGTCCACTAGATGGCAGTCCGATCTGTCTTTAGAGGTTTAGTCCAGTAGTGAGATAAATTTTAGATAAACCTTCATTTAGGATGTTTTGGTGTTTTATTTTATTTTTTTGAAGAATTCTTTTAACATATAAGATAAAAAACACTTAAACTTATTAAATCTTATTGCTACTGTGTTTTACATGATTAATATCTGTAGGAATTTATATATATATATAAATATGTTTTTATATATTTACTTTTCATGTTTATTTTTCTGTTGGTGCCTTGTTTAAACCTTCTTGGATATTTAGACAGATCAAGGGTTGTGTTACACCTGTTACAGGTGTAAATGTTAAAATGAATGATGGCTGCATTCCATTTAGCTGCTTCAGTTTCATGGTCCTGGTATTGTGCATGTTCTTCCGCTCACTGTCACACTTTCATGACTTACTGGGACACTTGAACAGAGCTTAATGTTCTTAATGTGCTTTTCCTACCATGACCAGTTAAATATATGCTGTGAAGAAAAAGACGTGTAGTGGTGAGAGCTGAGTAAATATTGGATTAGTAATAGTCATTAAAATGAATGTAAATGGTCGTGGTAAGTCAAACTTTGACATGTTATCTCACACTTTGGACAGACTCTTGTAAGAGTGATGTAAATCCTGTCTAATATTCATCTATTTTCTCTTTTTCTGGCAGAATTTGTGTTTTTATTCACACATTATTAGTTGTTTTTTTCATCTTAAAAGGCCTAAACGCCATTTAAAACCATATTTGGAATACTGTCTCATTTTATTACACTTATTACAGGTTTTAGTGGTTTCAGATATGGATCATCAGATCATCAGTGAATGGATGAAGGTGGCCCTCCTGCATGTTGAGACGCTGGAGAACCAGACACACAGTAGCTTATAATGATCTTATGAAATATTCATTGTGGCCGTGCAGCCTCCTTCAGGTTTCTTGTTTCAACATCAGTTTTAATTTGGCTGGAAGGTAATCACACACACACACACACACACACACACACACACACACACACAACCATTGGGCGCAGTTTAAATGGATTCTTGCATGAGAGTGGTGCATTTTATTCACATATTTTACTCAGATTTGAAGAAAATGTTGAGAAATTTGTCAGAAAAAAAATGTTTTAATACTGAACTTGTTATTAATGCAGCCATTAATAGTTGAGGTAAAATGTTTTTAAATTTAACAGCAGGGAGTTCATTTTGGGGGTTTTATCTGGAGTGTGGAGCTACTTTTTAAGATGAGCAACTGCAGGATAAAGCGAGTAGTGACTAGTTTCATAAGACTTTAGTTTTTTAAAACTATATCAGAAAAGGTGATGAAGTTATTTGTGAGTAGTAAGGCGAGCAGCAGCCGCGCTGTGCAGAGGGCGGTGAGACGCTGCTGGCCGGCTGCGCCTCCTTCATAATGTATGGAGAGGACAAAGGCTGCACGGGTGGATTTCAGCGTCAACTTTGAAAGAGCCGTAACCCAAACCTGTCGGATCCCACTCCGACGGGCTCGCATCAGCTGACAGGATGATGCCTCTTTTTCCACCTGCAATCTGTCTAATAATCACCGACAGCAGGTAAATGAGACCTTCAGAGACCTTTGGGTGCCCGTATATAACGAGGAGCAGAGGAGGCCTGTACTCGGAGAAACTTTTAGTCCCTGTGCAGGGATGGAGGAGAGCGCGAGCTTCAGGGGCCTGGATGCAGCAGGGTGCCACACCCGGTGGATGCTGGTAGGTCTGCTGCCTGGTGGGAAACACCAGGGTTTTATTATGCAGCGTGTAAAGTGTTGAGTCAGTGTGACAGGATGGGCAGAGATGGAGCTAAGAGTTAGAGTTACCCAGTTCTTTTTGCGTCTGTCATCTCCTATATCTTAATTATGGTAAGTCAAAGTAGAATGCATACTTGTGTGTGCATTAATCTGCTTTATTTCAGGCGATTTAAGGATTTAATTCACTTTAATGCTTTATTTTTGTGAGATTTTGTTTGAAGTTTACCAGATGAATTTGGGCAGCGTTACATTACCACTGAACCGGGTTTCCTGAGCTCTTCATCGTCGCCACTGCAGTGCTCGTCCTGTGCGTAAAAGGCGCAGGGGGAAGTGTGCTGTAGGCCTGCGTATAGAGGCAGCAGAAGGAGAGGGAGGAGGGCGGCGTGGATTACTATACTGCCAGTGGGTTAAGATGCTTACCAACTAATTACCTGTCCACTAAAATCCCCTGCCATACAGCCCCAAAACAAGCAGGGAGACGCGAAGGACGGAGAGATGGAGAGTAAACTGAAACAATGTGGAGCAGCGGACTGAAGAAACACAACAAAGTAATCTCTCCTCCAACAGACCAGTCCATCCTTTTTTTTCGACTTTGAGTAAAAGACTGTCTGACTGTGAAGAGATTCTCCTGCTGGATGCGTTTGGAGGCTCAACAAACACGTTTCCTTTTGTGTTTTTATAAACTAAAGTGTTGTTGTGAGGATCTGGGATCATTTATAAGGTTAGTAAATGTGTGCGATCCTCAGGCTGTTACTTTGATATTGTGTTATTACAATGTGGGAATGAAGACGTAGATATTTATGACAAATGGAAATAATAATAATAGTTTGTTTTTGAAAATGAGGGAATGCTTTGAGTCAAACTACTTCAGGTGATTACACCATCCTCCACTGCAGCCTTCATTATAAGAGGAAATTACTTTATTGGGGAGGTGAGTGATTTTATTCTACTGTTGAACAATCAATGTTCAGTGTCACGTGTACTTTTAGTACCCTTAAACCATCAGTCATGTGGACTAATTATCACCACAGACAATGAGACACAGTAATAAAGAGCAAAAGACATTTAGAGCAACTAAACTTCAGGAGATTTCTGTTTATGCTCCCATCTCTCTCTCTCTCTCTCTCTCTCTCTCTCTCTCTCTCTTTCTCTCTCTCTCTCTCTCTCTCTCTCAAGCTTTTTACTCTATTGATCTCTCCCGGAAACGGGAAGATGAGCCCTGCTTTGGGACCCATTTGGAGCATCTCAAAAATCACTTAGCGCATCATTCCCTACAGCCAGAATCAATCTGAGCAGCAGACCTGCTCCTCCACCAGCATCAGGAGGTCTCTCTCACAGGGAGGCCAGAAACGTCCCAAAATACTGAAGCCAACAATAACCCCATGATAACTTTTAGAGGGATATAAATACACGCTCATTTCAGTGAAGATTTTCTTGAAGCATCAACTGAGGAGTAAGCACTACAGGGCCTGTGCAGCAGATGGCATGGCTGGATTTACTCCCCATCCTGGAGAAGGAGGGAAGGACACCGTTGATTCTGATGCAGTCTGCTCAGGACTGTAAAGACAAGACTCTCAGCTGAAGCTTTACAGGCAGACATAGAAGTCGAACCTGAGCATGAAGCAGCAGACAGGAAGTGAGTTTTTTTAAGACAGCTCTGTGTAGGCTGTTGTTAGCTTTAAAGTGGGACTACACTTATATCTCCTCCTGTTCTGTGTATGGCACTGGTAGAATTCACTGTCACAGCACACTATCAGTGAATTACCATAGGGCCATAAACAGAGTAGAGACAGAACCACGTGAACCTCAGCTTCTTTAAAACCTCTTCTGCTGCAAGGGGACAATGACTGATCTCCTCAACATCTTTAAACAGGCTTTTTTTTTTTTTTTTTTTTTTACAGTGTTTCATAGTTTAACTGATTTTATTTTCTTTGTGCATAAGAGATGAAGGTAGAGATGTTACATTTACTGCAGTGATCTTATAAAGGAGGTAAAATAAGAACATTTCTCTCTCTATCTGCATAATTTCACCTTCTGCTGTTGCAGCTTTTACAGTAATCTGACAGCATTCACTTCAGACTCGTGGTGAAAGTGATACAGAAATGTATGTATCATGACTTTTAAGAGACCGGGACGCTTCATTCGGTGATGCAAAATGTAAAACCAGCCGACAAGGTCTTAACCAAGTGAGATTTCCCATCTTCTTTGCCCATTTTGGCACTAGCACATTTTTGCTTTGTTTCTCCTGCTTTGAGCAATCATGTGTAGTGCCAATATAGGACAAGACAGACACTCAGCTGGTCATAAATATTCTGGTGCCTCCTGTGTTTTGCTGTTATCTTTGTGAGAGAGAAACATAAGAGAGAGGAGACGAAGGGACGGGGAGGATGAGCTATGGATCAGATCGATTGCGCCGTGCCTCTCAGATATCCCTGGTTACCATGGAGGCCTGTGCCCCATCTCTGAGACGCTGTAACCCGAACCCCCTACTTGTCACACAGATCTGGTGGCTGTGACTGGTGCACTCTCCCACAGTGTTTGGCAATGGTAGAACTCACTCTGGTGGGCTGGAAGGATCCAGTGGTTCTAGACTTGCCAACAACTGACTGAGAGCTTTAACCTGCCCGCTGCAATCCCAGGACACATCACAGAAAGAGGATTATTTTATGTTGTAGGAACGTGTGTTAGCTAGGGCAACGCCAAGTCATTTTATTCACCAGTACAAGCTTGGGTGTTACAAAAAAGGTCACGGGTGGCGGGTTGAGGGCGTGGTTGGGTGTGTGAGTGATTGCAGGCGGAGCA